CAACAGGAATCCTTCACATATGGGCATGCTTCATGCTTTCCAGAATGCCTTCACCAAGGGTGGATGTTCAGAGAGGCCATTGTAGTTGTTGTAGCATCTGTCCAACATCTGTTCCAACTGGTCCATCCCTGTTCCATCCAGATTGCTAAATATTTTTACTATCACCTTGGCTATCACCTACGTGATCCTGTTTGTACTGCACATCAAAGTGGGAGCGGACCAAAGACTGATGCGATGAAGCCTATTACAAAGATGAGCAAGATAGGATAAAACTCAGAGGTGACTTCTCCAAGCTAATAAATGGCCAAAGTTGGGTTTGAAAATTGGGAATTTTGTTCAAGGCTCTTTGCACCTCCCTGTGTTCTGCACAGAATGTAAAGGGATATGCGAATTATATCTTTCCCATACTATTTATCAGAAAACGGGCTAAGGGATTTACATGCATCAAATAGTCACAACAAACCCCAAGAGGTAGGTTTTACTGGCCTCTTCATTTTGTGTATAAGGAACCTGACACTCAGTGAAGGCCATTTTGACAGAAGTGGAAAAGATAGGATTTGAACTCAGATCTTCCTACTCTAAAAAACTATGTGGCTCCTACTCTCAAGAATCTAGTTGTAGAGATGTGATATGCAAATCATAATAATTATAAGCTTAAAATACATTGGTTATAATTATACTCAGATACTATACACTATATGAAATCAGGACAAAGAGAAGTCAATTGAGTTTGGGTCATCAGGAAAAGCTATCACATAAGATTTCAAAGTAATGCAAGAAACATTTGTGATTTTATGATACTGGGGCTACTCATAGAAACTTGATGAGCTGCATTCAATCCTGAAGGATGAATGGGGCTTAGCTATGCAGAAATAAGGGAATTCTGGGCAAAATGACCAACTCTCAAGCATGTAAACAAGGAGAAAAATATAAAATGTTCAAGAAAAGAAGCCAATCTGCCTAGATCAGGAATGGTAAAACAGCTTTGTTTTCCTGCCAACCCTCATCAGTTGAGAGTAGTTGCCTGCAGTATTGTGTTCAAGACAATGGTGAGACTATAAAGTGTTCACAGGAAGAGTTCTGAGATCACTTGTTGATGTCTGCCATGGACAGGGGATGGAAATCTGATAGCACAAGTGCACGTCTCTGCCATTATTAGATTGCAGAGTACAGGCTATATGAAGGATAAGCAAGCAAGAAGGCTGAAGAACTATTTTAGGTATATGACAGTTATTTTCTGTGGTATGGAGTTTGGATGTGCTTTAGCAGATGAAAAAGTAATTATGAGTTCCTGAATAGGGGAGGCTCCAAATAAAATTGGGAGTATCATGTATGGAATTAACTAGAAGGCAGCCCTATGAAATATGGATCCTGATCACTCACATCAGCTTCTGAGTTGACCTTCTTCTTATAGAGCCAGTCATCAGGTGTCAAAGTAATGCCTTAAAAAAGAATAAATTACGTATATTTTCATTGTTGGGCTAAAGTTCAAGTTGGAAGCAGGCAAGCACCTGGCTGTCATCACAGCCGCTTGATTGGCTAATAACATCCCATATGTCTCTTGCACAACCGTGGCAACCCAATGGACATTAGGTCATCTCATTGTGTTCTTAGATATGGTGTTACACGGAGGAAAATCATGCAAAGACCTAGATCTGACTCAACTCATCACAGGTCACCATCCTGTGACACTTTATCATCTTCTTCACCCTCATTGTCATCACTCAGATTTACATGTGCTAGGATAAGACTTACTTTACATTTTTATCTCAGTTTATCCTCATGACAACCCTGAGAGGTACTAGTGTGTCCATTTTACAGATGAGTAAACTGAGTATTAGGTCATGCAAATTGCCCCAAGGTGGAGCTTGAGATACAAACTGAGGTCGGTCCATTGCCAAAGTTGTGCTCTTCCCCGTTGCCATCCTTGTCACTTAGGCCAGGGACCTGCACACATGGGCTCCAGCAAATCATATTCCCACTGACATCACAGCAAACAAACCACAGACAAAACCTACATGAGTGCCCAGTGGGATTGTGGATTCTACCCCACTCCTTTCCCAGATGACACTGACAACCGAGCCACAAGAACCCAGCAATTAATTTTTATGTTAACCACACACCCCAAAATACCTACCGACAAGGAAGAGGCTTGGGAGGGTCTCACCCCCAAAACATCTATCCCAGGGTTCATAGTACTATTTCTGAAGCATTAAATACAATTCTGAAATTGATTTCATAGATTTTATAGATTTTTTATTTCATAGATTATGATTGAGGTTAAACCCCCAGCTTTTTAAGACCCCCACAACCTCTTCTGGAAGCCTGAGTTTTATTTCAATTATCTGAGTCATCTAAAACTCCCAATTTCCAAGTCCAGTTCTCTGCCCTTTCATGTTCTGTTTAGGATGGCGACAAAAACGAAAACAAAACAAAACCTCCACGTACATCCAATGCCATATTTTAAATACATCTCTGAAAAGTTGGATGTTGACCAGAAACTCTCCCATTCTGGTTCAAGAAGCCTTTGTTTATTTAACTGATACATAATAAGTCAATTTTCTTTTACCTTTAACCTCTTAAAACGTTCTGTGGTTTTCATAGATTTCCTTTTCACATGTACAGTAACACCAGCTTCCATCTTTATTACATATAAAAGCTTTCCATCAAGCCCATTTTTTTTTCAGTAAGAATTCATTTCAGGGTATGAAAAGAACTAAGTAGAATCTCTTCCTAAAAGCTAAAGCAGCTTTCTTTTTCCCTTACCTTTATTTGGGTCTGTACAATGGAGTTGTTGCAAAAAGTCATGGAAGTATGAATCCCCAAAATATTTGTTTCAAGAAGGAAGATTCCTAAGTTTCAGTTTCTAGTTTTCCACCATTGTATCAGTCAGAATAGGTCAGGTTTTGCTATAGTAACAAACAACCCCTTGTTTTAGGGCCTTAAAACAAGAAAGCTCTATTTCTCATTTGCACTATATTTCTTCTGCAGGTCAACTGAGAGGTCTGCCCCCCAATGTCCTCATGCCTGTACCAGAGCAAACAACATCCAGAACTTTCCTGGTCACCATGGTAGAAAGAATGTAGTTAATTGCTTGCTGGCTCTTACAACTTCCACCCAGAAGTGACAGATCACTTCTACTCATATTTGGTGCCAAAGAACCCTAATATAGCCATGATCACTCCTGACTCTAAGCTGCAGGGAAATACAATATTTTGCAGGAGGAGGTCAGGAAATATTGAACAGCACTCATAATCTCCACTATCACCACATTGTGCTATCTGCAAGGAAGGTATGCGTAACAACGATGAAACCTCACCTTTACCGAGTGCTTACTTTGTGCCAGATGTGAGTTTAAAGGTTTTGCATGCATTGTCTCATTTAATCTTATGTCAACTCTATGAAATACGCATACTTCACCTTACAGATGAGGAACAAGGGAGGGACAAGGAAATTGAGTCACTTGCCCAATGTCACCTAGGTGTAAAGGATTGAGACCTAAACCCAAGTATTCTGGCTTCAGATCCTGTGCTCCTAACAGTTCTGTGATAATGCCTCCCAAACCTGCTATTACTACTGTCATTAATACCCCTCTCTTAGCTCGGTTTTCATTATCTATGCAATGAAAATAACAACCTCTGCCCTCTTAGGATTCTTGTTGTAGGTTACAGCAGAAAATAAAGCAAAACTGCTCCCTAATGTAGGGTTTTGCCATACACTATGTGATCTGGCCCACATAATCGCCATGTAAAGTGGACTGGGAAAATTCATCAACACAATTTTATTGGGGAGAAAACAGACTCAGAACAGGACAATTCTATGCCTAAAGTCTCACACCAAGTAGGGGCAAAGCTAGGACTCCTGCCTTCTGGATTATAAACCAATGCTGTTCACACCACAACCTACAATATCCCATGGACAACTCAAAATCAAAGATCCTAGCTCCCCAACAAATCAGTCTTGATCAGCGGTCCAGATGGCCCATAGCTCTATGGAAGTCCACAGAGTAGAATATCCCAAATACATTTCTTAGATTTATTCCCAAATAATCAAATGAAGAAGGATGCTCTAATTTTTTGTTGGGAAAAATACCAGAGAACCAACAACTGTTAGGACTGACTTTATCTGTGTGTTATCTAGGAAAGGTAGCATGAATATAGTAACACTTTAATCACATTCCCATGCAGACATTACTAATCAATCACAGCACACTTCCCTGCTAAGACCAGATTCAGCCTCAAAATTCTCTTCAACTCAGGCAACTACCAAAATCAGTCATGGCTAGGACTCAAGAAGAAACATTTTGCTATGTGTTTTGGTCACCTATTGCTGCATAACACTACCCCCAGCAAAATACACTACCCCAAAACTTAGTGATTTGAAACACCAGTTTATTATTTTCATATCTCACCATTTTCTGGGTCAGGGATTTGGAGAGGGCTCAGCTGAACAATTATCAGTATGGAGTTGATTAGGGGTCACTCTGTCACATTTAGCCAATGGTGGACAGTTGGCGATTCCAAAATTGGCTTCCAGGGATTCCAAATTGGCTTCAGTGGGGACTTCTGGAAGGTTGGAATCAGCTGAGCCCCATCCCATTGCACAAGGTCTCAGAGCCTTCTCCACATGGAATCTCTAGCAGAGTGGTCTGACCTACACAGCTGCTCAAGATTTCCAGAGCAAGGAGGACATGTAATCTGCCCATCTTTTAACTCCCAAACCTAATGTCTCTCCCTCCTTATTGCACATGTCAAGTGGTCACAGAGCCCACCCAGATTCAAGCAGCAGAGACATAGACCCCATCTCTCCATGGAAAGCATATGAGAAAGAATTTGTGGTCATTATTAAGCCATCCTTAATTTATTTTTGCTCTAGAACAAACACAACTGAACAGATTGACCTACCTTCAAGAAAGATCTTCGTTTCAGTTTGCTTGTGTTGCTATAAAGGAATACCTGAGACTGAGTAGTATATAATGAAAATAGGTTCGTTGGACTCACAGTTCTGTAGGCTGTACACGAAGGCAGCATGGCACCAGCACCTGCCCATGGTGAGGGCCTCGGGAAGCTTCCACTCTTGGCAGGAGGAAGAAAGGGAGCCTGTATGGAGAGATCACATGGTGAGAGCAGAAGCAAGAGAGAGAGGAGGTGGTGCCAGGCTCTTTTCAATTCCAAAAACCCAGACTTTACCATATATAATATATCCATGTAACAAAAACCACGCTTGTACCACCTAAATCTATATATTTTTTTAATTGAAAGTAAGAGTGAGAACTCACTCACTCCCTTGAGGATGGCACCAAGCCATTCGTGAGGGATCCACCCCCATGATCCAAACACCTCCCACCAGGCACCACCTCCAACAGTGGGCGTCATATTTCAACATGAGCTGATGGAGCTGAACAAACCATATCCAAACCATAGCAGCCTTCTAATGAAACGTCCTCATGTTTAAATCTTCCCAACTCCCTCCATCATAAAAACTAAAATGAAGCTTACTGTCTTCTAATAATTGCCTTTCTTGATTGAGCATTTAATGTGACAGGCACTAGACAAAATACTTTGCATGCTTTACAAACACTGCACAGTAGGCTCGAGAAGCAGAAATTCTTATCCCCAGTTAACAGGTAAGGAAACTGAAGTTCCCAAATTTAAGTACCTTGATCAAGGTTGCACAGCCAGAATCCAAAACTCTGTCTGTGTGGTTCCAACGCTCTTAACCTCTGTTCCCCCAGGCAAGGATTACCACAGCAAAGTGTTTTTATGGAACAGGTCTATGCACCTATATGACTGTCACACCACCTATCCCTTATAAAAAGCAAGACCCATAGCCAAGGACTAGACAGACCCTCAAGCCACAAGATGGGAAGATCATCCCTGACCGTAACGAGCACAAACTTAGAGAAGCATTTTGCGTGGGGCAGGACCCTAGTGAGGAAAAGTTTTCAAATTCCCTCCTGGCAGTAACAGCCAGGTTGGAAGTGCCAACTAAGAATCTGAGAGTCCACAGCTCTGTCCAACAGAACCTTCTGAGATCATGGGAATGTCTATGTCTGCACTATCCAATATGGTAGCCACTAGGCAAATAGAGGAGACATTGCTCACTGGAAACATGACTGGTGCAACTGAAGAGCGGATTTTTAAATTTAATTTAAATAGCCTTCTGTGGCTAGTGGCTACCATACTGGACAGCGCAGGTCTAGAGGGTTCAAACTCAAGTGCAAACCACTTCTCGGCCAACCAGGGATCCATCTGGTCAGTCTTTCCAGATGGCATCATGCGAGTAGCCTTCATTCCATGCATCTGTTGCATTTGCCTGCCATGGTGCATTGCTAAATAGGAATTTCTTTTCATTTAGAAGGACCATCCTAATTCTTTTCCTGAGTCACCATCATCCCCTCTTGCATCAGACCAACCTTCACTGACTGATGTCACCTTCCTGGCCCTTGAAGGTGTGAGTTTGAGAACCCTATTCTATGAATACATACTCTACCTCATGCAATCATTTGTCTCAGCTCTAGACTATATCCTATTAAAATCCCCAGAAGCTGCCAACTTTATCCTTTCTGCCCTACAGTATGGTTCACATCCCTCTTTCCAAATTTCCTTTACTTAACATCCTACCCTCATCTAATTTAACTGGTGTAGGCTCGTACTGATTAAAACACTAAGGAGGACATAGTAGACATAGAAGGACCATCAGATGGCAGAATTTAAATGTTACCTGCCTCTGAGTTATATGAAGGCACCTATTGTTAGTGCCTTCTAATTTTGAATTTAAAAAGTTTTGTACTCCCATAGAAAAAATATAGAAGTATGACATTGATATTCCATCTTATATGGTTGATTTCATGAGATTTTGATGGTTCTAGGGCATTTCCAACAGTCACAGAAGTACTTTAGGTAGGAAGTGGCTGAACAGCTGCCCTCCCCTCCCCCTCCAGCAGGTGTTCCTAACCTGAGATCTGTGAACCCCAAGAGGTCCAGGGATGAAATTCAATGGTTCTGTGAATTCGGATGGCAGAAAAGAAATTACATCTTTGTTCTCATTAAGCTCCAAGCAAAATTAGCATTTCCTGCAATAATGAAGGTAGGCAACAAACCACAGTGGTATTAATGGTCGTGGTGGTATTAATGCCGTGTCTAACACGGGCAGGGCAAAGGCAGTATATGTAACCTAAACATTTGTACCCCTTTAATACGCTGAAATTAAAAAAAATTAAATAAAAAAGAATTTGTCATCAATAGAAAATTTGGGAAACATTTCCATCTATCAACTTTACCCATGGGATAATGACCACAGGAATCCTTCACATCTGGGCATGCTTCATTGCTTTCCAGGAATGCCTTTCACCAAGGGTGGATGTTCAGAGAGGCCATGTAGTTAGTTGTAGCATCTGGTCCAACTCTGTTCCAACTGGATCCAATCCCTGTTCCATCCCACGATTGGCCTAAATATTTTTACTATCAACCTTTGGCTATCACCTACGTGATCCTGGTTTGTACTGCAACATCACAAGTGGGGAGCGGACCAAAGACTGATGCGATGAAGCCTATTACAAAGATGAGGCAGGATAGGATAAAACTCAGAGTTGACTTCTCCAAGCTAATACAATGCCAAAGTTGGGGTTTGGAAAATTGGGAATTTTGTTCAAGGCTCTTTCACCTCCCTCGTGTTCTGCAGCAGAATGTTAAAGGGATATGCGAATCTATAATCTTTCGATACTATTTATCAGAAAACGGGCTAGATTTACATGCATTCAAATAGTCACAACAACAACCCCAAGAGGTAGGTTTTACCGGCCTCTTCATTTGGTATAAGGAACCTGACACTCCAGTGAGGGCCATTTTGACAAGAAGTGGAAAAGCAGGATTTTGAACTTCAGATCTTCCTACTTAAAAACTATGTGGCTCCTACTCTGCAAAGATACTATTGTAGTGACGATGTGACTATGCAAACCTCATCAATAATGTATAGCTAAAATTACATTGGCTATAATTGATGACTCAGATACCTATACACTATATGGAAATCGGACAAGACGAAGTCAACTGAGTTTGGGTCATCAGGAAAAGCTATTCCATAGGATTTCAATGAGTAATGCAAGAAACATTAGTGATTTTAATGATACTTGGGGGCTACTCATAGAAACCTTGATGGAGCTGCATTCAATCTGAAGGATGAATTGGGGCTTAGCTATGCAGAAATAAGAATTCTGGGCAAAATGACCAACTCTCAGCATGTAAACCAACGGAGGAAAAAATATTTAAAATGTTCAAGGAAAAGAAGCCAATCTGCCTAATCAGGAATGGTCAACAGCTTTGTTTTCTGCCAAGCCTCCATCAGTTGAGGGAGTAGTTGCCTGGGAGTATTGTGTTTCAACACAATGGTGAGACTATAAAGAGTTTCACAGGAGGTTCTGAGCATCACTTGGTTGATGTCTTTTCTTTTTTACCAATGGCAGTGGGATTGGAAAATCCTGATAGCACAAGTGCACGTCTCTGCCATTATTAGACCTGCAGAGTACAGGCTTAATGACGGATAAGCAGCAGGAAGGCTGAAGAAACTATTTTTGTAGGATACCTAGGACAGTTTTTTTGTGGTAGTGTTTGGATGTGCTTTTAGCAGATGAAAAGTAATTATGCAGTTCCTGAATAGGGGAGGCTCCCAAATAAATTTGGAGTATCACGTATGGGAATATAATAGAAGGCAGCCCTTAATGAAATATGAGATCCTGATCCTCACATCAGCATTCTGAGTTGACCTTCTTCTTATAGAGCCGTCATCAGGTGTCAAAGTAAATTGCCTTAAAAAAGCAATAATTCGTATATTTTCATTGTTGGGCCTAAAGTTTCAAGTTGGAAGAGGGAAGCACCTGCTGTCATCACAGCTGCTCTGTTGGGCTAATAACCATCATATGTTCTCTTGCAAACCGTGGCATCCTAACATGGACATTGGTCATCTCATTGTGTTCTTCCGATCATGGTGTTACACGGGAGGCAAACATGCAAAGACCTACGATCTGACCAACTCATCACAGGGTCACATCCTGTGACACTTTATCATCTTCTTCACCCTCTTGTCATCACTCAGTTTACATGTGGCTTAGGATAAGACTTACCGTTTACATTTTATCTCAGTTTATCCTCATTGACAACACCTGAAGGTACTAGTGTGTTCCATTTTACAGATGTGGTACACTGAGTATTAGGTCATGCAAATTTGCCCCAGGTAGAGCTTGAGGAACAAAAACTGAAAGGTCTGGTCCATTGGCAAGGTGTGTGCTCTTCACACCTTGCCCTCCTTGGTCACTTGAGCTCGGGACCGCACACATGGGCTCCGCAAATCATATTCCCACTGACATCGCAGCAAAACAACCACAGACAAAACCTACCATTGAGGCCCAGGTTGGGTTGTGGATTCTACCCATCCTTTTCCAGATGACATTGCAACGAGCCACAAGAACCAGCAGCATTAATTTTTTAATGTTAACCACACACCAAAAACCTACCGACAGGGAAGAAGCTTGGAGGGGTCTCACCCCCAAAAAACATTTCAATCCAGGGTTCACCATACTATTTCTGACAGGCAACTGTATAATACAATTCTGAAAATTGATTTCATAGATTTTATAGATTTTTGATTCTCATAGATTATGTTTGAGGGTTAACCCCCAGCTTTTTAAGACCCCCACAACCTCTTCTGGAAGCCTGAGTTTTATTTCAATGTATTCTCGAGTCATCTAAAACTGCCCAAGTTTCCCAAGTCCAGTTCTCTGCCTTTCATGTTCCTGGTTCTAGGATGTGCGACAAAACAAAACAAAACACAAACCTCCACGTACATTCCAATGCCATAATTTAATAATCTCTGAAAAGTTGGATGTTGACCAGAAACTCTTTCCCAATTCTGGTTCAAGACGCTTTGTTTATTTTAACTATCATAATAAGTCAATTTTCTTTTACCTTTAACCTCTAAAAACGTTTCTGTGAGTTTTTCAATGATTTCCTTTTCACATGTACAGTAACACAGCTTCCATTTTTATTTACATATAAAAGCTTTCCTCAAGCCCATT